CACGGCCGTGGCTCCGTGCCCTGTGATCCCCAAGGGTCACTCTTCTTCTTGGATAATAATAGAGGAGAGGCATGTGGGCAGTGCCGTGCTGGAGGGGCGCGTGTTGCGACACGCCGGGAAATGTCAGAGGGGCAGGCTGGAGGAGGTACGAAAGGTTCGTGCCTTTTATTTTAGCTGGCTGAAGGTTTGACATTCTGTTCGCGTTGAGCCCGAGCTGTTCCTTTTTATTTTTATGGGTGATGGGAGTGGTGAGCAGGATCATGCGGTCGGCATGCCAGGGATTTCTGCTGGTGGGGCTGGAGGGCGCGGGAGGAAGCTGTGGCCGCTGGCGGAGCTGGTGATGGGATGCCCAGGGGATGTCGGATGGGAACACTGACCACCAGCTGTGCCCTGCTCCCCGGGGAGGTGTTGCACCAAGGATGCTCCATGGGTAGAAGATGCTCTGCTCCCCACTCCTCTCCAGGTGGAGAAGGGCTGATGGTGCTCAGTGGCTGGATGTAGCGTAAAGCAGAGGGCAGCTCTGGGTTTTTTTCCCTATAAAGTTGCTAATCATCTTATTTTTCTTCTTTCCTCTCTCTGGGAGCAGGGTACAGAGAGAAGGTTCCCTTCAAGTTGGCAACGAAGCCCCCATCGCTGGGTCCTCTCCGCTCGGTGCGACACAGCTCGACACAGATGGGGCCCTGTGGTTGGGTAAGTTGGTGTGGGAGGGGGGAACGTCCCCTGTGCCCCTTCCTGAGGGGCTCGGAGCTGGAGCTGGGGTCTTGATGCTCCTCACTTGTTCCAGTGGGACACCATTGCCTCCCAAGTGGCTTTGACAAGGTTGGCCTAAAAAAATCCCCATTTTGTTCTCTGCTAGGGACAGCTGAAGGACAAAGGGTTGGCTTTACCAAATGCCAGTCCTTTCCATGTCCCCAAAGAGAGCCGTTAGCTGGCCTGTGGCTCTGGATCCCCCACTGCCCATGGCATGGAGCATCTCCTCCCTCTTCAAACTGGAGTGCTCCCCCCAACCAAATTCCCTCGCTGTGGAAGCCCCCATGATTTCACCCATTTTTAAGTTGAATTGGGATTTTAGAATGCAAGTTAGTGTTTTAAAACCTGTATGTATTGGTTGGGATTGGCATTTCTCTGATTTAAATGACAATAAATACTGGCCGGGTCTGGCTGATGGACCTTTGTCCTCCCCCCTGACCTTGTGCGCCGTCTCTTGCAGGAGGACTGGAGAAGCTGAGCGTGGCTCACAAGCTGCCCAAGGCGTACAGCACCGGCTTTATTGGCTGCATACGGGACGTGATTGTCGACCGCCAAGAACTGCATCTGGTGGAGGACGCTTTAAACAACCCCACGATATTACACTGCTCAGCCAAATAGACCCCCAGGGACCCTTCCTTCTCCTTCCCTCCCTCCTGCCTATTGCTGTAATTATTTTCTATTTTTGTAAACTTATTGCTTTTTATATTTTTGGGGGGGAGGGGGGAAAGGGAGGGGAGGAAACACCTTTTCTTTTGGGTTATTTGTTCGGTTGCAGTCTATCCAGGTCAGTCAGACTCTTAATCAAACAGCAGCAACAAAGAACAAACCTTGAACCAAGTCTCCAAGAAGTGACAGAAGATCTTCCCCGTTGCACCTGCGTTGTAAATCTTTTTCATACTTGAAGCTTCTTTTTTTTTTTTGGAGGGGGTTATTTTTTTCCCCCCTCCTTACTTGTGTTCTTGGGTCGTTGTTCACGCCTACGGGGGAAAGGATGCTGGTGCTGGCGAGACGCGTGCTCTTCGTGGATTCACCGCCTGGCCCTGAAGTCCCTTCTGCAGCGCTGGCTCCGCAGGGAGGTGGCGATCAGAGAAGCCAAAATTCCCACCTTGCGTTGGGGCCAGGCTCTGCCAAGCCTTCTCCTGGCCTCGTCTTCACCCTATCTCCCTCTCCCCACCTTCCTCCCACTCTAATTTATGTGTGTAAGAATCTCAAGTGCTTTTCTCCTTTCTGCTCTGTTCAAATCAGGGATGCCATGCACTGGAAGAGAGCCCAAGGTCTGCTCCGAGCAGGCAGAGAAGCATTGCTCTTCGGTTGTCTTATGACCATTTGCTGGACTGAGGGGTGCTGTGGGGGAAATGTTGGTTTCTCTGTTGGCTCTCCTCCTCGTCTTGGACATGTGCAGAAGCAGCTGTGAAACCTCCTTTCCACGCGTTGTGTTCATCCAGCCGTGTCCTAACCCCCCGCTTGCCCTGGCTGCTCTTCCCAAGAGCCCTCCCGTGCACCGGGGAGGACCTGCAGCACATCGTCAAGAGCTGGAAGTCAAACGGGCTGCAGGGGCACAGCGACTGGGTCCCTTTCCACTTCAAAAAAAAAAAAAAAAAAGAGTTGGATGTGTCCTTCCATGACCCATGTCTGTTTTCCAGCCTTCGGGCATGACTTGCCCTCTGTCTACCATGAGGATGCTCGCAGCACGTGAAGGTCTGTAGAGCTGATGTTAGAGCCTCTCCCATGAAGACTGGAGTTTTATCTTTGACTTTGCAGGGTCTTCCACGCCGTGATCAAAGCTCCTCTGGATACTACCAGCCCAGCAGCGATAGCAAGGGGAGTGGGAATGGAAACGGGACCGGAACGGGGCACAAGTCAGCTGTCGAGGCAGTAGTGTTTGGGAGCAGGGGTTTTTTTTAAGTATTTTCTTCCTCCGTGGGAATCTTGCAAGCAAATCCCATGGTGCCGGTTGCAGAGCCGGTAGGTGTGTGTGCGGATGGATGTGTGTGTGTTTGGGGGGTCTGGCGGCCAGCGCACCGATGCAAACACTGAATCTCCCGCCAGCAGAGGAACAAACGGATTGCAGCGATGAAAGAAATGACTCCATTCAGGCTCCTTCTCCATGGGAAGAGTTTCCTGGTGCTGTGTAGCATCCATGTCCCTTTCCACCGCTGGGACACAACGGTGTCCCTTCCCCACGCTGAGCTGGCAGCTGGCATTGCTCGGTGTCCCACCAGCTCTATGGAGCGTGCAGGATTCATCCGAAGGATCCCTCCAGGTATGAAGTGTTCCTGACTAGCCAGGGTGCCATCATTTTGTGGTTTTACCATAAATTTCTAGCACACCTTGTAGCGTACCTTTGCCATGTGGCACATCCTTTAAAAATGTCATTTCTTGACACTAAATTTCGACCCGTAAAAACATCAAATTCCTTTTCTCAGGGTGAGCTCTGAACACGGATGTCACAAAGGGGAAGAAGTGTAAAAACCACTTGGGTTTCTTTTTTCTTTTTTTTTTTTTTTTTAATTAAAAAAAAAAATCTATCCTCCCCCATCTATGCCTAATCTATTGACATTCCTCTAAAAAATCCAGCGGTTCAATATTTCAGATATTTCACAGGGGGCTGTGCCCTCGGTGGGATGGAGCCCCCGGGGTGGGGAGGTTGCTGTGGGTGTGGCAATGACACATTTTAAGTGGCTGCTGCGTAGAAATTGTGGTTCCTGGTGGGGAGGACTGTGAAAGGGATGGACTGCTGGATTTCCATCACAAGGTGGAGATAGATGGGGGCTAACTGGGACTTGCAGGATGGAGTGGGATGGGAGGGAGGGCTGGACGGTGCCAGAGGGAAGCTGCTCGTTTTCTAGGATGCCACTGAAATGAAGCCAGGGTCACTGCAAAAAATAAAATTAAAAAAAAAAAAACACCTAAAAAAAACCACCACAACTAAACAAAAAAACAAAACTCTGTCTGCTTTTGCTGGGGCTTGGAAATGCCTTAAAACGGGACCTCGCGTCCTCGTTGTCAAGCGTCTTGAACCAAGGTCAGATTCAGCAGTGCTCCCTAGGAGCTGTGCACTTAACTTCGGCTTTATTTTTAATCGCGTTTATAACATGTATGTACAAAAAAAAAAAAAAAAAAGACATTAAGGTTTTTTTTTCCCCTCTGGGGCTTTTTTTTTTTTTCCTTTTTT